CATGATTACAGGTGAACCACGAATTTAAATTTCCAACGAATTTAATATTTTGTTTAGGAATTTATGCAGACTTTGGCAAAACCATGAAATCAAATATCCACAAAAATACAAAGTTTCCTCAATCCACAAAAATTGGTACCCACGTAAAATTAATGAATCCACAGTAAACAGAATGCCATAGATATAAATATCTGGAAACAAAAATCTAAACTATTATGTCCATTATGTCAATTTATGTATAAGAATAGGATTGACTAAACACGAAGTTAAGGAGGTATTTTTAAATATGTCTGTATAATATTATTTACTCACTAATAATGTGTTTTAATTCGAGAGTGAAATATCAAACTGTACCAATGTTCTACAGTGACCTTAAACTTTACACACCTATCTTTTTCTATCACTGCCTTTCTTTCCAAGTCATAAATTTCTTTGTCATGGTCAAGATCTTTTTGATTAAGCTTGGCTTCAAGCTCTGCAAACTTCTTGTTGAGTTCATCTTGTTGTACTCGGAATTCTTCCAAGGCATTCAATTTCCCAGCTGAAATGATAAAGACAAATCTTTCGCAATCACATGAAATTAGGTTTTGTGCTGAACCCTCTATTTCAGTTTTAACTGATTTAAATGGTGGCCACAAGAATTTTTTTAGTAGTGCTAATTTTGCTATCTCATTTCAGACATGTTTATTGTAGCAATTTCAGTACATTGTATCATTCAGATAGTAAGTCTGTGGTGAAGAATTTTCTTTCAACTGGTTGGTTCAATTTGAAATTAAAAGAGAGCAACTGAACACTTTTTATGCATGAACTCAACATTGCCCAGGTCATGTGACTTAACTTTTCAGTTACCACGACAATTTTCATATCAATACCTGATATTTTTAACAGTTCTTTACAAAATCCAATTAAATTGACCTCTTACAACATAATTGGTTAATAGAAATCTATTCAACTTCAGATGTAATCATTTTGGTTAGAGTTAATAGGTGTGACATGATAAACGTAATTTTATTTATAAATAATACATAATTGTTTTAAACAGTTTTCAAAATCTTCTTTTCCTTGGTGGTCCTTGAAGATAATCTGCCAGTCCTCACTATCATTTTTATTGCAAAAATATCAAAATTGTGTCGCTCCTTTTCAAAATGTTCGTGGTTAAAAACTTCGGACCATTTCTATTTTTAAATCATTTTGAACATGTTAAATCTAATCTATATATAAATTATATACAACACTAAGTATACACTTACTAGTCAGTGTTAATTCTGCTGAAAGTTTGTCATTTTTCTCCTGATATTCTGTTCTAAGCTGATGGATTTGAGCATTCAAACGTTCTTTCTCTGATTCCAATGTTTGCTCCAAACCAATCAGCTGGTCCTTCAAATCATTACATTCATCCTCTAAAATGATACAATAGATAAATAATGTGAATATGTATAAATCAATACAAATACCTGTAACTTTAAAATCACAACAAATTAAATCCTAAAACTGTTTTACTGAGGAGGTACAATATACTTCTTGGAGAAAACTCTTAAGAAGTCAATAGAAAAATTATATGGTTTTGTCTTTGGGAACTTAATTAATATGAATAAGTTATTAAAACAGACTAAAAGCTTCAAAGCAAATAACATCTTTGTCTTGCTATTTATTTTTTTTCGCGTATTTCTAAAATTAATTTAATAAGAGTTTGAAATTTGTGCACTTAAATTAAAATATGTAAATATTTACATATATATATGTATCTCTTACTCAAATTTAAAACAGGAAAGATAATAACTGTGAGTAATGAAATCATGACATACCATATATCAGAATGAAGCTCTTTTGTCTTGAGTGTTGAGATTTCAGATTATTTGATAGTATAGCTCAGACAAACACGGTGTAACTTGAAATGCTACTTTAGACAAATAGTGTAACTTGTTAAATATGCTAGCCTGAAGACAGTGTAACTTGTAATGCTACCTCAGACAAATAGTGTAACTTGTTAAATATGCTAGCTTGAAGACAGTGTAACTTGAACTGCTAGCTCAGACAAATAGTGTAACTTGTTAAATATGCTAGCTTGAAGACAGTGTAACTTGAACTGCTAGCTCAGACAAATAGTGTAATTTGTAATGCTAGCTCAGACAGTGTAACTTGTAATGTTAGCTCAGACATTAAGTGTCATATGTATTTACTATAGCTCAGACAAACAATTTAACTTGTAATGTTAGCTCAGACATTGTCACTTGTATTTAATAGCTCAGACAAACAATTTAACTTGTAATGTATAGCTGACTATGCGGTATGGGCTTTGCTCATTGTTGAAGGCCGTACGATGACCTATAGTTGTTAATTTCTGTGCCATTTGGTCTCTTGAAGAGAGTTTTCTCATTGGCAATCATACCACATCTTCTTATTTTTATAGCTCAGACAACAGTGCAACTTGTAATGATAGGTAAGAGGTAATTTGTAATGCTAGCTCAGGCTAACAGTTTAACTTTCAATCTATCTCGATTGTATTTAATCTGAGTCTGACTTTAAATTAATACTTCTATTCACTTAGATCTGAGTCTTGATATCTTTACGTACCACTTCTATTCAGTTTTCCTTCTAGCCAGAGAATAATCTGTTCTTTATTCTTGATCTCATAATCCTTTTGTGACTCAAAAGCTCCTTTCTGAACTTCTAACTCATCACATTTTTTCTGGTACCTTAAAAAGAAAAAACATTCATTATATATCCAATGTACATGTACATGATGTATATATATGGTCATGTATTTTTTCTGTTTATATAATTTTAGGTCAAATTAATCATATTTGTAATATTGATTTACATGCATATGTGACAATGTACATAAAATTGAGAATGGAAATGGGGAATATGTCAAATGTATGTTAATCAGACCATAAACATGATAAAAGAAACAACTTTTGGTTGGTATACATACATGACATATTGATGTAATAATGATCTGACATGATAATAAATGCACAGTTTGTATATTGATTATGTACATGAATATTAATCAGACCATAAAAGTTCAAACAACTTTTGGTTGGTATACATATTAATGTAATAATGATAATGAATGTACAGTTTGTGTATTGATTATGTACAAAATGTACATACATTATGTATGTTAATCAGACCATAAAAGGTCAAACAACTTTTGGTTGGTAGTAATGTAATAATGATAATGTATGTATAGTTTATTAAGGATTCATGACTAGTACTACAGTACATCATGTACATATATACAGTATTCATACATTGTACATACATTTGTACTTTTAGGTAAAACTGATGTAAACTTACACTACAGAGACTCCTTCCATATATTCAATATATCAAAAGTACATGTGATTATCTTAGGATTTTTCATTCATGTTATAACGTCCAGAAACAAAATGCTTTAGCCATGTATAAAGTTGATCTAATAATTGTTTCAGCTGTATGTAGATCTTCAACATTTAATATACATGTAATAGGTTTTGGCAATTTGGCCTAAAGCATCCCTGAAGGGACATTAATTGACAAATGCCAAGCTGGTCCAGCTAATGGAACAACATGCATGACATTTAGAATGGTAAAAAACAAAGCATGTACGAAGTGTAAGGGAATATATTTTTGCAGCTTGTCTATTTGTTATATATATAAATATGGAAGTAGATTGTAGAATCAATTATTCTTCCAAAAATTATATAATTCACTGTACATGCATATTACTTTGTAAAACATGCATTACATGCAAAAAAAAAAAAAGAGTGAAAAAATACAAGAACAGATAACTTGGTCTGCGTTGTTTTAAATACTTTGTACTCATGTTTACTTCAATGCTATTACACCATGTACACCTAATTATCGCTATTTTTCCGCCATAACTGGATATCACAAATGTTCCCATAAAATTTTAACGACATATATAATAGAAAATAATTGACGCCACAATGGAAAAGTGATTGTTGTATGACGTCAATAGTTCAATAGGCACAGATTCTCGGATCAAGCGGTGCAGATTTCCAAATAATGATAAGGTCTTTTAAAGAAAATAGTTATCTGGTACAAAAATGCTGGTAGCAGCAATACAACATAAGTATTCAGTGAAATTTTCAACACAAACTTTAACATACGACTGTTCCAATAATATATAACATAGCATTATACAAGACAATGAAATTAGAACCAGGGCATCCAGGTACTAGGGGGAACGTTCAAAAAGGCAAACATTCCTGAATTCCAATCCCTTTGTTTAAATGTACATTTGAAATTTGAACAATAAAAAATATTTTGAACAAACCTGGATTCCCAAATGACAGTAGTCAAAGATGTAACTAATATTAAAGCTCATTGATACATAAATAATGTAAGCAAATTTAGGTCAGAATATTTGTGATCAATAAATGTTGAAGAATGATAATGAAGAAAAAACACAATTCAGGCAAACTAACCGGACAAGTCTGTTTTCCAAATCTCTTATTTGAATTAGATAATATTCTTTTGAAAGTTCATTTAATTGCTCTCCTGGTGGCTTAGCAGATCCACGTCCTGATTTCTTAGCACTTTTCTTTCCCTTCTTCCCACTCTTCTTCTTTTTTGGTGGCATTTTAAAAAATGTAATTTAGATAAATCAAAAGAATTAAAGACAGGTCGACAGCTTTTACACAGAGCCAAATAAAATAATATCACTTGTCTGCCGCCATATTGTTGCTACTAATGCCTTGGAAACCCTCTGTGCGTTCGACTTTCAGCTGTAACGGAATCGGCCATTTTCTATTTATAATATTTGTTTTCTTTGTGTTCGTGTTATATATTATTTCCAGCCTAATACTATTTAATAAAATGTAGCATGATTACAACTAATTTATGCCATCAACTAAATATTACTATCAAACAAAACCTTGTAAATGTATGCGACGTTATAATTCTTAACGGTTATCAGATATACCAAAGAAATTCTCTATCAGGATTTATTTTAGAGCGCACCTAAAAAAATTATATCACATGACCAAAAAAATGGCAGACAAGCAACAAAAACGATGGAGGAAAATTTTGTACGAAGACCAAAGCGTTCCAGACAATTACGTGGATTCATCATTTTTAGATGAACTCCAAAAGAACCGTATGATGCATTTTACTACGTATTTAAAGCGAAATTATCCCTTTTCAGATACTAAGGTTTCTTACTTTCAACCGAATTCTAGCCATTTCGTCACCTGGTTTAATCGGCACCCGTTATAGTCAATTCGGCACCTAGTCAAATCGAGATCCGTTATAGTCAACTCGGCACCCAGTCAAACCGGGACCTGGTTAATTCAGCACACGAGATAGTTATTTCTGTACCTAAAATGAACATTATGCTTTGCAATTAAACTATTGAAGACTCCTTTTTTTCACTCCAGCCCCAGGTGTCAACATATATTTGTTATGCATTATAGTAGTTCCAATGGAAACTGTGTTATTAGCAATGCCATAATATCTGTTCCTTTTATTTTATCATAATTTTAAACGTTTCAAAATAAATAAAGATAAGATAAATTTGTTATTAGCACTAACACATTAACAATAAATGGTTATGACAACAAAATACAGACAAACTACAATAACATATGTACGAATCCGGGTCCGTTCGCGCCCAATCACGTTCGCCCCCATGCACGTTCGCGCCCAATCACGTTCGCCCCCATGCACGTTCGCCCCCCTTTCACTTTCGCACCCTATACGTTCGCACCCAAAGTCCGTTCGCACCCTGCACGTTCGCGCCCATTTTTTATTGGTTTTGTTTTTAATAATTTGTAAACGAGTTTTGGTAAGTGTATTGCTATAAATATATATTTTTTCATTGTTTCTAAATAAAGTGAGATTCTGACAAGGTTTTTTTTGTGTCATGGTAAATATATTGCTATAAACATTTTTTTTCATTGTTTTTAAATAAAGAGATTCTGACGACCAGTATTTTATTTTTGTGTTGAATAATTTTTAATCATGTTTGGATAGTGTATTGCTATAAATAGTTTTTTTCATTGTTTATGAATAAAGTGAGATTCTGACACACATGAGATCAAAGGAGCCAAGCAGTTAAAAACAATTATCTTTCGTGTTTTTTATTTAAAATCTTCAAAGTTTTACTCATACCAAGCTAAATACATGCAGTATTTACATCAACGCAAGTTAAAACAACCATGACAACAATCATGATTTTCAAACACTCAACAATAACACCAAATTAGGCTGTGGAATAAATACCAATTAGCAGTAATCATACATAATTAACATTTAATAATTAATCATCAAATCAATTTAAAACTATATTTCATTTAAAAATACCCGAATTTTTATTTATGAAAATAAAAATATTTTGATATAAACATCTACAAAACATCTAAAAATTTATCAGGTTTTTGAATAAAAAAAAAGGGTGCGAACGTGTAGGGTGCGAACGGACCTAGGGGGCGAACGTGTGGGGTGCGAACGTGAAGGGTGCGAACGTGTATTGGGCGCGAACGGACCCGATACCCATATGTACAATGAAGGAGTGACAGTGGATAAGTTTGAGAAAAATATATAAAAAATATAAAAAAACTTAAAAAATTTATTAAAAAAAAAAAAGAAAGATATCAAGTACCTATTAATAATGAGTTTCTCACCAACAAGCATTCATTCCAATAGTTCACAACAATTTTTATATGACTGCAAAAAAATTTTGCGGTCGTATATTGGTATGACGTTGGTATCGTCGCCGTCGTCCGAAAACACATTGGTTTTCGCACTCTAACTTTAGTTTAATTGAATGGATCTCTATGAAATTTTACCATAAGGTTCAATACCACAAAAGGAAGGTTGGGATTGATTTTGGGGGTAATTGCCTCAAATTTTAGGAATTTGGGGCCAAAAAGGGGCAAAAAACAAGCAATTTTCTTGTTTCAGGACAAAAGGAAGGTTGGGATTGATTTTGGGGGTTATGGTACCAACAGTTAAGGAATTAGGGGCCAAAAATAAGCATTTTTGTAACTTCCAGACATAAATTGTGTGTTAGTGTATGGATCTCTCTGACATTGTACCACAAGGTTCCATATCACAAGGGGAATGCTGGGATTGATTTTGGGGGTAATTGCCTCAAAATTTTAGGAATTAGGGGGCAAAAAACAAGCATTTTTCTAGTTTCATGACAATAACTTGTGTGTTAGTAAATGGATCTTTCTGAAATTGTACTACAAGGTTCCATATCACAAAGGGAAAGCTGGAATTGAGTTTGGGGGTAATTGCCCAAAATGTTTAGGAATAAGGGGCCAAAAATAAGCATTTTTCTAGTTTCCAGACAATAACTTGTGTTCAAGTGTATGGATCTCTCTGAAATTGTACTGCAAGGTATCATGCCATGCATAAAGGGAAGACTGGGATTGATTTTGGGGGTAATTGCCTCAAAATTTTAGGAATTAGGGGCCAAAAAGGGGCAAAAAACAAGCATTTTTCTTGTTTCAGGACAATAACTTGTGTGTAAGTGTATGGATCTTTCTGAAATTGTACTACAAGGTTCCATATCACAAAGAGAAAGCTGGGTTTGAGTTTGGGGGTAATTGCCCTTAATGTTTAGGAATTTGGGGGCCAAAAAGGGGCCAAAAAACAAACATTTTTCCTGTTTCCAGACAATAACTTGTGTTCAAGTGTATGAATCTCTCTGAAATTGTACTGCAAGGTACCATACCACAGAGGGAAGGCTGGGATTGAGTTTGGGGGTGATGAATCATAAGGGGGTGGGATTTTTTTTCCTTTTGTTCCTTTTTTTTTCTTTAAAATTTTCCATTTTAAATTGGTTATTTCTGATTTATATATAAACAATGATAAAAGCAAATAATAATGATATGGTTTGAATAGGTAAATTAAATTGTTTTAAGTTCTTAGACCACATTCATTCTGTGTCAGAAACCTATGCTGTGTCAAATATTTAATCACAATCCAAATTCAGAGCTGTAGCAAGCTTAAATGTTGTGTCCATACTTGTCCCAACTGCTCAGGGTTCGACCTCTGCAGTCGTATCAAGCTGCGCCCAGCGGAGCATTTTATTAATACTGTTGGGGAATTACTATTTAGAATTGATATAAGTAAGTTATATGATAAAGAAAGTAATTTGTTGTTCGATAGAACATAATTTAATTTCTTAATGAGTTTATCTCTCACATATTTATAGGATGAACTCATCTTCAATGTCTCCATTGTTGCAGCAAAGACATATCCTACTCTGCTTTGGTATTTTTAAGTATCATCCTCTTTAATTTCAATGGATAAAATATCAGCAGGTATAATTTGTCCTTGACCTTATTTTCATGGTTCATTACTCCATGTACTCTATGTTCAGTTTTTGTGTTCTGGTCTGTTTTTCAATTAATATAAGCATGATAAGCAATAAGTCAACTACATTTGGTGTATGGAAAAATTGTAAGGTTAACTATATTTGGTGGAAGGAATGATTGTAAGTATGTAAGGTGTACATGTCTGTCTGTAATGTATCATCTGACCTTGACCTCATTTTCATGGTTCATTGGTTGATGTTTAGTTTTTATTGTTTTGTTTGTTTCTTTGATACTATAAGTAAAAGGTCAACAATATTTGGTTAATGGAATTACTGTTAGGTGTACATGTCTGTCTGCCAGGGTTTATGCCCTTAAATGACAATTTTATACCTTCTTTTTGTGTTTTGGGCAAAAACGAAATAGAAGATAGATCTAGAGAGAAAATATAAACAGTCAAAATCATCAGTCAAAAAGATATTTTGGTCATAAATTCTATTCTTGTCCACTATGTTGGAGAGTGTTCATTGTTGTAGATTAACACAGACCTAAGTGAGCAACACAGGCTCTTTAGAGCCTCTAGTTTTAATTTAAGTACATGCTATATAGAACTTTTATTGGTAGTTAAATGAAATAAAATTTTAAAAACAACTATATTTCTTTAAGATCTGACTTTAACATGTTCATGATATTCGTTTCTTTAAATGTTTTACAATGTCATAATCTATCCAGATGATAAACATTTCAGGGTTCTCACTAAGGGGAGTCCATGAGTCCTGGACTCACGAATGATGATCATTTTCAGAACTGGCGAGTGCAAAGATGCATCAAGATTGTACAATGTTGTATCAACTGGGCACATATATCATGTATATCATCATTTAATTACAAAAGTTTAAAAATAATCTAAATTTGATATCATGTCCTGGTATTATTTTGTCATAGGGACTGAAATAATAAATTATAGAGCAATAAAATTTCATCTTCTCACTGTTGGACTTGCCATGACCAAAAATGATCCCTGGACTTGTCTTCAAAATTCCTGAAAGTCTGAAAGTGAGAACCCTGCGTTTGACATGAAATATAAATGGTAAATTGAAGCCAATTTATAAGTTCTTAGTTACAATACAATAAAAGACAATACACATGTTTATTCCAATCAAGATTCATCAGTGAGACAATGACAATGATACATTTATAATTCAGTTATATATAATATCAATATATAGTTCGTCTAAATAACAGCCCAACAATGTTAGATCTGTAAATTTGCGGAAGCAAATTTTTTGTTCTTCCCTGTCTGGGATTCGAACTCGTGCATACTTATATGCGTTCAGACTTACTTATAATATAATTATTTCTGTGACTGCATCCTACATTAATTTGTAAGATCCTCTACGATTGATAATTCAGCTGATCTGTAATATTCCATCTTCATGCCTTATATATCATGTACTGTGTTAGGACGCTAGATAAAAACTGACGAGGAAAGGTAACACGCAGCCACTGAAAGCTTGATTTTTGTCGAGCCTAGGTGGTCAAGTGGTCTAGCGAGTCGGGCATAGTGCAAGGCGATTTGGTGACACGATATCTCAGTAGCATGAGTTCGAATCCCGGCCAGGGAAGAACAAAAAATTTGCTTCCGCAAATTTACAGATCTAACATTGTTGGGCTGTTATTTAGACGAATTATGTGTACAGAATGTGTTTTCAGCCTTGTATCACCATCACTGGTGATCTGATGGATAAAATCTGTCATAGAGTTGTCACTGGTTCAGACGTACTTATTATATCAATATATATATATATACAAACAATACAGTTCAAGAGGACAATGTGTTAAACCTGTGTAATAATAAAAATAACAATATATTGATTTTAAATGTTTAGTTCATAGAAAGTAAGAAACAGACACTTTCCTGAGCATCTGAGATAAATAGGTTTTTGGTGGGATTTGTGTTGCTTTTATGTTTTGTTTTGTAGACTGTTGTAATTTCTTCAGGTAATTATTTGTTTTTTGCCATGGCATTGTCATTTTTTTTTACTTTTGAGTTTGATTATCTCTTTGGTATGTTCTGATGCAGCCTCTTTTTTTCAAGACATTAAAAAATTTCAAAGGGGGATGATTTTAAAACTCATTTAACATGTTTAAGCTTATACAATCTGACCATGCTGACTGAACAATACTAGTTCCATCATTTTTCAGAACACTTAGTGCCATTTAAAATAGTATTATAAAAATAAGAAGATGTGTTATGATTGCCAATGAGACAATTATCCACCAGAGACTAAATGAGATAGAAATTAGGAACTATAGGTCACAGAATTGTCTTGTTATATCATAAATTTAGAAAAATAAAAAAAAAGAGTTTCTTTTTGATTAAAGCTTTTTAGACTTAGAGTGATTTAAAGGTTGACAAGATGTATAAGACATCAGCCCTGTCTTATCTATGAATCTGCCTGATCACCTCTAGACTAGTCTGACTTCTTTCAGATTCTCGAGTCATTGGGTTGTTGAGAATTGATTTTCAGGGTCTGTATAATTAAATAGTTTAGCTCAACAAAGAACCATGTGTATTTTAAGAACTGATATTCAAACAACATGTGAAAATTTTATACTGAAAGGAAAGTATAATTTATGTTATTTCTATTTCAGTACATACAAGGAAGTATGATTATTGGACAGTTTGTGAACAGTCAGGGGAAGTAACTCAACAGATAAGCAGGTATTGAATGTTAACTGGATAAATAAAAGTCAGGTTGACTCACTATTAATAAAATTTTGTCATTAAAACATCAAAAAACTGAAACATTTCATTTAGTATTGAGCAAGTTAGGAGAATGTGGATTTAATTACATTTTCCTTAATATACCCAACGCAACAAAGTTGCATAAGATATAATTTTGTTGACCTGTTCGTCCATCAGTTCGTCTGTCAGTTCATCTGTCAGTTCATCTGTCAGTCCTGTTCTTGTCATCACAACTCCTCACAAAACCACACAACAGAATTTCATAAAACTTTGAAGATAATAAGACAATACTATGTAGATGTGCATATCCACAGGAAATTATGATTCAATTTTTTTTCTAGGAGTTATTACCCTTTGAACTTAGAATTTTAAATATATTGCTTCAACAGTTTGTCATCGCATCTCCTCTGAAACCACACTACATAATTTCATGAAACTTTGTAGATAATAAGGACATACAAGGTATATGTACATATCCACAGGAAATTATGATTCCATTTTTTTTCTAGGAATTATGCCCCTTTGAACTTAGAATTTTAAATATACTGCTGCAACAGTTTGTCATCACAACTCCTCTAAATTCACACGACAGAATTTCATGAAACTTTGTAGATAATAAAGGCATACAATGTAGGTGTGCATAGTGACGGAAAATTATAATTCAAATTTTTTCTAGGAATTATCCCATTTTGAACTGTGAATTTTAGATATACTATACTACTGCAACAGTTTGTCATTGCAACTCCTACGAAACACACTACAGAATTTCTACAAAAAAAATTTCTTTATAAATTTGGGTACAGTGTAACCATACTTGGCCACAATCATCATTGGGCTATCTAGTTTTAAAAAATGTGTCCGTTGACCATGCCCGCCAACCAAGATGGCTGACGTGGCTAAAAATAGAACACACGGGTAAAATGCAAGTTTTGTCTATTATTCTGAAAACCGTTATAATTTGAGAAAATCTGACACGGGTATAAATGTTCAGAATGTCTATTTCCTAAGAGTTATTGCCCTTAAATGACAAATTTCACCATTTTTTTTTCATTTTTGCCTATTATTTTGTAAAGTATAATAGATAGACAGAAACTTCAAATGCAAAAATGATCAGAAAAACAAGTTCTACAAATAAGTATAATAGTTGAAATGGTCAATTGACTCCTTATCAGAGTGGATTTGTGGAAATCGTCTGACGGCTCCTTATTGGAGTTATTAACCTTTAATGACGATTTTTACCATTTTTTTGCGTTTTGCCTATATGATAAAAATTATAATAGATAGATAGAAACTTAAATAATCAAAAATGATAAGCAAGACAAGATCTACTAACAAGTCAAATGTTGCCGATATAGTTAGTAGACTGCAGCTGTCACCCTTTATAGGAGTGATTGCCCTTAAATTAGGAATTTTTTTTACCCTCTTTTGTGTTTTGAGCAAAAACTAAATAAGATAGAGAGAAACAGTCTAAAAGATCAGCAATTTAAGACCAAGGTCAGCGAAACAGGCACTTTAGAGCCTCTAGATTTTATCATGCTTGAAGATACATGTATTGATTTGATGATTGGTTTATAGTTTTATCATGACAAGTTACAGATCAAGTTCAAATTTTGTTCCGGTCTGATGATTTTGTGCAGAGTTATGGTCTTTGGGCTTAGAAAATTCACTCAAATAATCAATTTTCCACATTGACTTGATATTTGTTATATAGTTTACACCATGACAAGTTAGGATTTTGTTTCAGCACAATGAATTTTTAACCGTTAGGGTACTATGCATTGCCTGGAAATACTCACAGAATGCTTGTTTTCATGCTATATTAAGGACAGGTCAAGGTTTTTAGAAGTTTTCAGAATGATAGTTGATAGGTCAACAAGACATGTTTGTGAATTATTCATGTTGATTGCAAAAGTGAAATATCCTAATTATTTAAACTTTTCGTCAGATGTTATAGCCTATTGACCTATGTTGATACTAGCAAATGACACTTATAGTAACAACTTCAATAATTGTTTTCCTCTTTTTACATTCTCTTTCTTTTTGGAAGTCTAGGACTGTTTGTTGTAGCATATGTATACATGGAGAATGGCTGGTTATCACCACACACTTTATTTACCATAACAACGACATTGACCTGTATAGGATACCTATTAAAGATGTACATAGAACACTACTATCAAGATACTACCTCTAACAGAACATGTACGTATACCGGTATTCATTATTTTGTTCAGGTTTAAAATATATTATAAGACATGCCTATAAATTTTTCAATAAACATTTATTAACATAAATGAGTGAACAACATACATGTAACAGCCCTCCAAAAACATGTAAATGTCACCATGCATATGGTATTCAGTAAACAATGACAACACTATACAATTGGTAAATGGGAAAATTTCAACAGTTTTTAATTTATGATTAAGACACTAATGAAGACACCATTTAACTGATAATTAATAATGAAGAAGATACCATACAATCAGTAAATTAAAGCAATTCATTAGTCTTCAACGTATGATTAAGGCACTATACAAGTAGTAATGAAGACACCATTTAACTAATAATGAAAAATTGTTTAATTAATTATGAAGGCACCATATAACTAAGTATGGAGACACCCTTTACCTAGATACAAAGACACAAGACATAAGTAATGAAGACACAATTGGTAAACAGAATCAATTAAACTCACAAGAAAGAAAATTAATATAAAAACTACATATATTGTATAAAGAAACATACAACAACAACAGCAACTAAAAAATAAAGAAAGGGACATCATCTGACAAAGGTCTGTGAGTTGGACATAGAACACAATACATTAAAAAGGATAACAGGAATTACCAAATATACAGTACAGCATACCAAACCAACCATGAACACCCAACCCCTCAGGACAAAATAGCTGTAAAAACAGTCAACTTTGCATGATCCTTATATATAAAAATCAGAAGATGTGGTATGCTTGCCAATGAGACAACTCTCCAAAAGAGACCAAATGACACAGATTTTAAGAACTCTTAGTCACCATACGGCCTTCAACAATGAGTTAAACCCTTACCGCATAGTCAACTATAAAAGGCCTGACAAACATAAAACAATTTAGGTAAGAAAACTAACGGCCTGATTATTAACCTTGGTATGGACATAAAGTCTCTACATATATGTTACTGAATTCTTTCATGATGAAATAGTATAGTATTAATTATAAAAGGGTGTTTTGATAATGGCCCATCCAAGGTCTGTTATAATGGTAGAAGATGTCTGTTAATGGCACAGGCAATGCCCAGGTACATTACAGCCTCTGAGTTTAGGTGCCAAAGAATATAACATCATTTCACAGAATTTTCATAACAACCCAATGACACAAATCTGACTTTACCATGATATGAATGTTTGCAAGCTCTCTTGTTGCTGCATCAATGACCAATGAGATAGCAGCCTATTACAGTCAGATGTTATTTCTGTTTTTGATTACTTAAGTGTAATGTTAACTTATCTGGTTTTTGTCTCGCCTTGACGGAGTAAAAAAGCGAGACATAGGTATGCTGTTTCCGGCATCGGCGGCAGCGTCAACAATGTATTAGTTTGTGATTAGGTCTAGTTCATGGTGAACCACTAGTGGTAGGTCAATGATATTTGGTATGCAGTTGTATAAGCATTGGCATATCTCATTTCCATGGAGATTATTTGGCTCTGCCCCCTTAGTCATGGTCTATAGACTTTGAAAATTTTGCTAAGTTAACATGTATTAGTTTGTGATTAGGTCAGTTCAAGGGGAACCATTAATGGTAGGCCAATGTTAATTGGTGTTCAGTTGTATAAGCATTTGCACATCTCATTTCCATGGAGAATATTTTGCCCCGCCCCCTCAGTCATGGTCTATTTACTTTGAAACTTTTGCTTACTTTACATGTACATTGTATTAGTTTGTGATTAGATCAGTTTAAGATGAACTGCTAATGTTATTAAGTCAATGATATTTGGTATGCAAATTTATTGGCATTTGCAAGTATCGTTTCCATGGAGATCATATAGCCCCACCCCTGATCATGGTTTATTGACTTTGAAACTTTTACATAGTTTACAAGTTAATGTTTGAGTTTAGGTTTGTTTAAAGGGAACGACTTATAATAAGTCAATGGTATTTGGTATGCAGTTGTATTAGCATTGGCACATCTCATTCCATGGAGATTGTTTAGCCATGTACCTTCAGTCATGGTTCATTGACTTTGAATATTTGCATAACTTACATGTTAAAGTATTGCTATTTTAATTTCAACATTAATTTTGCATTATCAAAATAACAAAAAGGCGAGACATATCTCTGTGATAACAGTTTATTAACATTTATATTTTATTCCAGTTTTAGATGATATAAAGACGGCACTGGTTTTTGCTGGTTTTAGTTATGGACTGTCACCAGTACTTGTTTCCTTGACAGAGACAATATCAACAGATACAATATATGCCATGACTACCATGATGTTGCTTGGCAACCTTGTATTTCATCATTATGGTGCCAATGCAGCATTGTAAGTGATTAAAGTATTGCTAAAATGAAAGAGCATCAATCTTAAAAAAAAAACATAGATTCTGTACATGTTATCAGTTTACCAAAACAAAAAGTGAGGTCCTGAGGGTGATGGTCAAAATGTTTGCCTTAGCTTCCAAACACTTTAAAATATTCAAGCTAAAAAAAGATTGAAGATTTAAAAAGTAAAATAACAAAAATACCGAACTCCAAGAAAAATTCAAAACGGAAAGTTCCTTATCAAATGGCAAAATCAAAAGCTGAAACACATCAAATGAATGGAAAACAACTGTCATATTCCTGACTTGGTACAGGCATTTCCTTATGTATAAAATGGTGGATTATACCTGGCTTCACTTGTATGAGAAAAAAGGGACATTCAAAACTCAAGATTAAATGACAAGCCATGGCAAAAAACAAAAGACGACTAAAAAAAAAACAAGTTCATAAAACACTACATAGAAAACTGAGCAACAATAATCCGAACAAATAATTGGGATGATCTCATTTGCTCCAGAAAGGTATGCAGCTCCTGCTATTCTAGTGGCACCCATGGTGTTGCTCATGGTAAGTACAAGTTCAGTGATCAGTTTCATTTGATGATGTCACAATCAAGAAAAAGAGGACCGGAATGTTTTAACCTCAATTTGAACAAATATGTTGTCATCTGTGACACAGATACCCCATAATGGTCAACCAAATGTATGAACCCTCAAGCATTATGGTCCCTCCAGCAAAGCTATTGGGATTGTATGGGTGTCTCAAGTTGATACTGATGTGATTGTGACAAAGCCGTATGATATTCTATATTATAATTTTGTTGGTTGAATTATACTTCTACAATAAATCTCTATTTTTGTAATAATATTGAATAAAAGTTTTGACAGGTTTATTATCATGATTATACCTAATATCCTGTCTGTAAAGTTTTTTGGTTATGAAAAATTTAAGTCCATTGGAGTCTGTGATTGTTCTGCAAACACTCTCACATAAATCGAACTCATAGTATAATACTCCATACAAAGGAAGCAACCGAACATCACCTCTAAGGAAAGGTTTGATTTAATGAAGATACTTGTTTACTTTCAGAGTATTAGAAGCATTATCGTTACATGCAGATACTTGTTTACTTTCAGAGTATCAGAAGCATTATCATTAAATACAGATACTTGTTTACTTTCAGAGTATCAGAAGCATTATCATTAAATACAGATACTTGTTTACTTTCAGAGTACCAGAAGCATTATCATTAAATACAGATACTTGTTTACTTTCAGAGTATCAGAAGCATTATCATTAAATACAGATACTTGTTTACTTTCAGAGTACCAGAAGCATTATCATTAAATACAGATACTTGTTTACTTTCAGAGTATCAGAAGCATTATCATTAAATACAGATACTTGTTTACTTTCAGAGTATCAGAAGCATTATCATTAAATGCAGGATTGTTTGCCTCAGTATGTCTAGCTTCAAGATTACATACAACATGGCACTCATTTTCTACTGTTACATTCTCAATAGAAATTTTTGGCTTGTGGCCAATGTTGAGAAGAAATCTCAGGGTAGGTATATTTAAGTTTTTGGTATAATTAATTATTTGCTAGACCTTAAATGGATATTTTGCAATCATACCACATGTCCTTACTTTCATAAGATATCACAATGTTATTGAATAAAATAACAATATCCCTAATGAACTGCATATCAATAATTGGTTAGGCCTGATAACATTAAATTATCTGCTGCACTTTAATTTGTGGGTACCAATTTTTATGGTTATTGTCGATGGCTTTATCCACGAATTTAAGTGTCCAATGAAATATAACTACAGATATCCAAATCAAGACATGGATAAATCCCAATGTATTGCATGTTTGAATATATGGATGTGGGCATATAATCTAGAGAATACATTGAATATCAGCAAACACACTATGAGCTATATATACAACCTTTATTTCTCATGAAAAATTGATTTTGATCGATGAAAGTCCAACTTCAAGTGATGATATGCGATGATGTCATGATGAAGTGTTCATATTATCTCCTCATGATTCTCATACAAAAAAAATCATATTGGGCTTGCTTTTTTATTTTACAAGAATTAATTCTACAATTCAAAGTACATTTTGTAACGTGTTTATGTAACAGTTTTCTTTAATTGACATGTTTATTGCCGTATTAACACCTTTGATGATTGTTAAAAATATGTTGATCATTTGATCTGGGGTATCAATTTATTTGTTTGATTTTATTATTTTCTGGATAAGTAAAGATTCAAGTTTTACATATTTGTGACAATTTATTTTGATGTTATTTTTCTGCTCACAAAAGTTGGAAAAATAAATTTCTCACCAAAAAATAAGTGGATTTACAGTACATAAAAATAAGATTAATTTACAGTGTATAAAAATAAGATTGATTACTTACAGTGTCAAGAAAAAAAAGATTATGTATGATTGCCAATGAGACAACTATCCACCAGACACCAAATGATGAGGAAGTAAAGCATCTATAGGGTACAGTACAGGCTTCAACAATGAGCAAAACCAACACTATATTGTAAGCCATCAAAGGCCCCAACATGCAAATATGTAAGACAATTCAAACAAGAAATTGAATTTATGCTAAAACAATCAATCACAAATAAATATACCAAACAGCAATAAATTTTGTGACTTCTTGCATATATGCAGAATGTGTCAGGGTGATCAGATAAAATGGGAAAATGCAAAATATAATTTTAAAATTTGCTTTTTTACCATAAAAAGCTTCTTTTCAAGTTTCAAAGTACTCCAGGAAGGTTATACAAAGTTAGTGATGTCTTAAAAACTTTAAACTAGGACTACATCTAAACTTTAACTGCAAACAAAATTTAAGTTTTTTTCTCAGTAAAATACAAAAAAAATGTATGATGGCTATGTCTTACTTTCTAGAGTTTTGTTGAAGGCTATACAAGAATTGATTCACTGGACAGTTGCTATGGCCTTTGTTTATTTTGTTTGGTTTTTTTTTACTAAAGTGGAGCAGGATTTCCAGAGCACATAAGTCATCCTTAGATTTTGGTAAAGCTCTTTAGCTCAATCTATTTTTGTCTGCCTTTCTTCCCCTTGTGTTTTAATTGCCCCTTGTTATTTTCTTACTTTTTGCAGAAACATATACCACAGACACAAAGATGGTTAACATTCCTGCTCATGATCATCACCAGCATGTTACTATGGACATTTTCTACAGTGGCAGCCATATTTTATATTATATTATTTCTTTTCATCACATTTATTTGTCCTGCATGGTTAGTCAGTCTTCAGCCATTGAAAAAGTAAGTATATATATGTATTTAAGATAACTAAAAACAGGGGCAGATCCAGCCCTTTTTAAAAGAGGGGGGGGGGGGGGGGTTCTAACCATATGTCCCCATTCGAAAGCATTGATTGTCAAAAAAAAAGAGGGGTTCCATAGACTGAACCCAAGTTTTAAATGCATTAAAAAAATAAACAATTTGTCAGTAAATAGGGACGAAGGAAAAATAAAAGTTGCTCTGGAAAGTGACTTCTGATCATGAATATGCATCTTTCCAAGTTTTTTAAAAATTCCAACAAGAGTGGACAAAATTACTGACCTTTAAAAAAACTTTAACCACAGACTCTAAATGTTGAGGACACCAAAAGACAACCAAATAGATATAAGAAGATGTGGTATAAGTGCCAATGAGACAACTCTCAATCCAAGTCACAACTTGTAAAAAGTAAACCATTGTAGTTCAAAGTACGGCCTTCAACAGAGTGCCTTGGCTCACACCGAACAGCAACATATAAAGGGCCCCAAAAATAACTAGTGTAAAACCATTCAAACAGGAAAACCAATGGTCTAATCTATATAAAAAAACAGAAACAAGAAACACTTATGAACCACATTACCAAACGACAACCACTGAACAACAGGTTCCTGACTTAGGACAGGTGCAAACAAATGCAAATGGTTTAAAAGTTGTAGGATTTTTATGTATCACTTGTACAACCTTGATCGCAGGCTTGACAAACATCTGTCACTAAAGAGTTGTTGCCCTTGAAAGACAATGTATCCCCATTTTTGAATTTTAGTTGAAGCTTTAATAGATTGATAGAAACTGTAAACAGCAAAAATGGTCAGCAATACAAGTTCTAAAAAAATTCCAATATGACAGTTAAACCATTGAAACCTCATAGGAGTTATTTCCCTTAAATGACAATTTTTAACTGATTTTTAAGTTTTTGGGGTATTATCTTTACACTTTAATAGATAGGTAATAAAATGCTCCGCTGGGGCGCAGCTTGATACGACCGCAGAGGGTGAACCCTGAACAGTTGGGGCAAGTATGGACACAACATTCAAGCTTGATACAGCACTGAATTTGGATTGTAATTAAATAATTGACACAGCATAGGTTTCTGACACAGAATGAAAGTGGTCTAAGAACTTAAAAATTTTTAATTTACCTATTCAAACCATATCATTATTATTTGCTTTTATATATAAATCAGAAATAACCAATTTTAAAGAAAAAAAAATCCACCTCCCCCAATTTTTTGAACCCCCTTATGATTCATCACCCCCAAACTCAATCCCAGCTTTCCCTTTGTGGTATGGTACCTTGCAGTACAATTTCAGAGAGATCCATACACTTGAACACAAGTTATTGTCTGGAAACTAGAAAAAATGCTTGTTTTTTGGCCCATTTTTGGCCCAAAATTCCTAAACGTTTAGGGCAATTACCCCCAAACTCAAACCCAGCTTTCCATTTGTGATATGGAACCTTGCAGTACAATTTCATAAAGATCCATACACTTACACACAAGTTATTGTCCTGAAACTAGAAAAATGCTTTTTTTTTGCCCTTTTATGGCCCCTAATTACTAAAATTTTGAGGGAATTACCCCCAAAATCAATCCCAGCCTTCCCTTATGGTATGGTACCTTGCAGTACAATTTCAGAGAGATCAATACACTTGAACACAAGTTATTGTCTGGAAACTAGAAAAATGCTTATTTTTGGCCCCTTATTCCTAAACTTTTTGGGCAATTACCACCAAACTCAATTCCAGCTTTCCCTTTGTGATATGGAACCTTGTAGTACAATTTCATAAAGATCCATACACTTACACACAAGTAATTGTCATGAAACTAGAAAAATGCTTGTTTTTTGCCCCTTTTTGGCCCCTTATTCCTAAAATTTGGAGGCAATTACCCCCAAAATCAATCCCAGCATTCCCTTTGTGATATGGAACCTTGTGGTACAATGTCAGAGAGATCCATACACTTACACACAAGTTATGTCTGGAAGTTACAATAAAATGCCCGGCAGGGCGCAGCTTGATACGATCGCAGAGGTCGAACCCTGAACAGTTGGGGCAAGTATGGACACAACATTCAAGCTTGATACAGCTCTGAATTTGGATTGTGATTAAATATTTGACACAGCATAGGTTTCTGACACAGAATGAATGTGGTCTAAGAACTTAAAAATTTTAAATTGGACATTCACCTATTATGGTCCAATATCTTAAATCTAAATACATGGTTAGATTCAGCATATCAAAGAACCCCAAGAATTCAATTTTTGATGAAATCAAACAAAGTTTAATTTTGGACCCTTTTGACCTCAATGTGGACAAAGTTGATAACGGGGCCCAAAAATCAAAAATCTAAATACATGGTTAGATTCAGCATATCAAAGAACCCCATATATTCAATTTTTGTTGAAATCAAACAAAGTTTAATTTTGGACCCCGATTTGGACCAACTTGAAAACTGGGCCCATAATCAAAAATCTAAATACATGTTTAGATTCAGCATATCAAAGAACCCTAAAAATTCAATTTTTGTTAAAATCAAACTAAGTTTAATTTTGGACCCTTTGGACCTTAATGTAAACCAATTTGAAAACGGAACCAAAAATTAAGAATCTAAATACACGGTTAGATTCGGCATATCAAAGAACCCCAATAATTCAATTTTTGATGAAATCAAACAAAGTTAAATTTCGGACCCTTTGGACCTCAATGTGGACCAATTTAAAAACGGGGCCCAAAATCCAAAAACTTAATACACGGTTAGATTCAGCATATTAAAGAACTCCAAGAATTCAAGAATAAAACCCCATTGAAATTGATCAAGAAATAAGCAATTTATACGAAGTATCTTCTTTTGCACAATACTGTGCAATTGAATATTTCTTGCTATTGCACAATACTGTACAATTGACAATTTCTTGCTCTTGCGCAATATTGTGCTATTGGATATTTCTTGCTATTGCCCAATACTGTGCAATTGAAGATTTCTTGCTATTGCGCAATACTGTGCAATTGAAGATTTTTTGCTATTTGGCAATACTGTGCAATTGAAAATTTCTTGCTATTGCACAATACTTATTATATAATAATTTACACATCCTGTTTGGTGTGTATCTCCTACCATATCATTATTATTTGCTTTTAAATATAAATCAGAAATAACCAACTTAAAATGGAAAATTTTAAAAGAAAAAAAAAAGGAAAAAAGAAAAAAAAAAGAAAAAAAAAATCCCCCCCCCCAAATTTTTTGAACCCCTTATGATTCATCACCCCCAAACTCAATCCCAGCCTTCCCTTTGTGGTATGGTACCTTGCAGTACAATTTCAGAGAGATCCATACACTTGAACACAAGTTATTGTCTGGAAACTAGAAAAAATGCTTATTTTTGGCCCCTTTTTGGCCCCCAATTCCTAAACGTTTCGGGCAATTACCCCCAAACTCAATTCCAGCTTTCCCTTTGTGATATGGAACCTTGTAGTACAATTTCAGAAATATCCAAACACTTACACACAAGTTATTGTCATGAAACTAGAAAAAATGCTTATTTTTGGCCCCTTTTTGGCCCCCAATTCCTAAATGTTTCGGGCAATTACCCCCAAACTCAAGTCCAGCTTTCCCTTTGTGATATGGAACCTTGTAGTACAATTTCAGAAATATCCAAACACTTACACACAAGTTATTGTCATGAAACTAGAAAAATGCTTGTTTTTTGCCCCTTTTTTGGCCCCTAATTTCTAAAACTTTGAGGCAATTACCCCCAAAATCAATTACAGCCTTCCCTCTGTGATATGGAACCTTGTGGTACAATGTCAGAGAGATCCATACACTTACACACAAGTTATTGTCTGGAAGTTACAAAAATGCTTATTTTTGGCCCCTTTTTGGCCCCTAATTCCTTAACTGTTGGTACCATAACCCCCAAAATCAATCCCAACCTTCCTTTTGTGGTATTGAACCTTATGGTAAAATTTCATGGAGATCCATTCACTTAAACTAAAGTAAGAGTGCGAAAACCAATGTGTCTTCGGACGACGCCGGACGACGCCAGACGACGACGACGACGCCAACGTCATACCAATATACGACCAAAAATTTTTTAATTTTTGCGGTCGTATAAAAATGCTTATTTTTGGCCCCTTTTTGGCCCCTAATTCCTTAACTGTTGGTACCATAACCCCCAAAATCAATCCCCACCTTCCTTTTGTGGTATTGAACCTTATGGTAAAATTTCATTGAGATCCATTCACTTAAACTAAAGTTAGAGTGCGAAAACTAATGTGTCTTCGGACGACGCCGCCGCCGCCGAACGACGACAACGTCTATTCAAAATAATCTCAAAAATGTGGTGCACTTTTAAAAAAAACGCTACACATGTTATTCAGTGTGCACCACATTTTTTATGTTATTTCCAATAGACAGAAAAATATTACAGTCATTCCTTAAACAGAATAATTCGTACATTTCCCAATAAGTTTAACAAGCACCATAGGCAGCAGAACAAGGTCAACCCAAGTGATCAACTTTTACATTTTTAACCGGATTTTCGAAGTAAAAATCGGTTATTGATTCGGGAATGTAAGTCGGGCTGGTGGGCGGCTGCCAAACAGTACCGTTCATTTTCATGAAAACGCTTTGAAGAAATTTTTTCAAATTTAGATATATTGTTTCCTGTGACTAAATGAATGAATGATTATAATCTGAAAAAAGATATACATTGTGTTACATCATATCTAATTTTAGATAACTATTAATCATATCTAATGTTAGAGTACTATGTTAAACCATATTTATGTTCAAAGGGATATAACTCAAAACTTATTCCATGAACCAGTAATTATAACATCAAAATTTCTTTATAATCTTTATAACTCTTTTTTTTAAGTCATGTGTGTTATTTGGTACTTTATTTTTGTTGTGTGTGTTATTGTTTAATTTTTACATGATCCTGTTTGGGGTTCAGATTTGCAAATATCATTTTCATTATTAATTAGATAATATTCAATCACAATCCAAATTCAGAGCTGTTTTAAGCTTAAATGTTGTGTCCATACTTGCTCTACTGTTCAGGGTTCGACCTCTGCAGGAAAATGTGGTTTGCTGTCACTCGACAGCCTCTTGTTGTTTGTATTTTGGTAAAAAAAAGTTACTTGTTTTTTTAAGTTTTCTTTTTTGAAGACATCATTGATTAATTTAAATGATAATTTTATAAAATTTTTCAGTGCGTATATAAATAACAAATATGAATTATGATAAGTCTGTTATAATACATTACAAGAACACTCACAACTATATATGGGTACCGGTAACAAGACTTAGAACAAATATGAATAATAAAATTCCATATGAGAAACATTATGTAATGTTTTTATTTTATTTTTCAGTAATATACACGGACCATGGGATGAGGCTGTTATAGAAGAAAAGAAAGTAAGCTGATGACGGACATGAATTAATTACAAAATAGCTTTCTCTTTGTTCAAATTAACTGAATATGTGGTGAACAATATCCAATTAATTTTTCATGTTGTAAAGTTTGACCGACCATGAATGCAACATGCAGTTATGAGTAAAAGACAATAAAATACAACACTCAGTTGCTTGATTCACAATTTGATTGTGAAAAATAAAATTAGTATTTTGAAATGATTGTTGATGTTTTTTAATTAAAGCATCACTTTGTCTAGACTAGACAGTTCATAAAACCATCTGACAATGGTAGGAGGGGAACTAAATTTTCACCAGATATTAAAGGATGCTTTACAATAACTGATGGACAAATATTGTCTGTTGACAAAGAAAATCATGACCATTTAAATTGAAAATTGGGATGTTTTATGTGAAACTCAGTCGAATGGATTCAGTTGAGGATTATGCCAGGCAATGGGTTAAAAGTGAGAAAGAAGACATAGATACTCTTGCCGAATGGTTTAAGGCTGTGAGGATGTTGATCCAAATAGAATTAAGAAACTGAATGGGTCTATCAATACTCATGCTTCATCAATTTTTATACGACCGCAAAAAAATTTTGTGGTCGTATATTGGTATGACGTTGGCGTCGTCGTCGTCGTCGTCGTCGTCCGGCGTCGTCGTCGTCGTCGTCCAGCGTCGTCGTCCGAATACATATTGGTTTTCGCACTCTAACTTTAGTTTAAGTGAATGGATCTTTTTGAAATTTGACCATAAGGTTAAATACCACAAAAGGAAGGTTGGGATTGATTTTGGGGGTTATGGTACCAACAGTTAAGGAATTAGGGGCCAAAAAGGGGCCAAAAATGAGCATTTTCTAGTTTCCAGACAATAACTGTGGAACGGTGTATGGATCTCTCTGAAATTATACTACAAGTTTCCATACCACAAAGGGATGGTTAGGATTTGCTTTGGGGGGTTATGGCTCAAACCGTTTAGGAATTAGGGGCAAAAAAGGGGGAAAAACAAGGTTGTCCTGGTTAATGGACAAATACTTTAGTACAAAACATAATTTAAAGCAGTGTAAGGGAGATAAATCAAATACATCATTGAAATTATCTCCCTTACACTGCTTTTAAATTATGTATAAAGTAATGGTTAATGAACAATAAAGATAATCTAAAACAGTGTAAGGGAGGTAATCCAAATACAACGTTTTGGTTACTTCCCTTACACTGCTTTTAAATTATGTTTAAAGAAATGCATATTTATAAAGGAAGACCAGTAAAAATATCTGCAAATGTTTTCATCTTTTTTTTTTACAAAAAAATCCATATGAAAGATTTGACACTATATTTTTATTAATTCTGTTATAAAATAGATTAAGTTAGCACTATGGTAAATTTAAATGGGTAATTATGGTTGCCAACTCCATTGGAAATTTGAATTGAGATTATGACCATATCTTGAGGGAAAGAATTTTTTGGGGGGAAAAAGGGGGGGGGGGATAAAAAGAAATTGTGGGGGGGTCAATTTTTTCTCATTTCAGATTTCAGAAATTAAAAAGAATTATTCTTCAAATATTATTTTTTTTTCAAATTTCAAATATTGAAAAATTTCAAGAAGTAATCTTTAATTGCACAGTATGGCGCATTAGATTTGTAAAATCTTTGATCACATTTATTTATTTGTTATGCCAAATCTAACAGTGTATTTAGATTTTTAATTTTGGGTCCAGTTTTCAAATTGGTCTACATTAAGGTCCAAAGGGTCCAAAATGAAACTTTGTTTGATTTCAACAAAAATTGAATATATGGGGTTCTTTGATATGCTGAATCTAAACATGTATTTAGATTTTAGATTTTTGGCCCAGTTTTCAAGTTGGTCCAAATTGGGGTCCAAAATTAAACTTTGTTTGATTTCAACAAAAATTGAATATATGGGGTTCTTTGATATGCTGAATCATACCATGTATTTAGATTTTTTATTTGTGGGCCCGCTATCAAATTGGTTCATATTGAGGTCAAAAGGGTCCAAAATTAAACTTTGTTTGATTTCATCAAAAATTTAATTATTGGGGTTCTTTGATATGCCAAATCTAACCGTGTATTTAGATTTTTAATTTTGGGTCCCGTTTTTTAAATTGGTCTACATTAAGGTCTAAAGGGTCCAAAATTAAACTTAGTTTGATTTTAACAAAAATTGAATTTTTGGGGTTCTTTGATATGCTGAATCTAAACATGTGTTTAGATTTTTTATTATGGGACCAGTTTTCAAGTTGGTCCAAGTTGGGGTCCAAAATTAAACTTTGTTTGATTTCAACAAAAATTGAATATATGAGGTTCTTTGATATGCTGAATCTAAACATGTATTTAGATTTTAGATTTTTGGCCCAGTTTTCAAGTTGGTCCAAATTGGGGTCCAAAATTAAACTTTGTTTGATTTCAACAAAAATTGAATATATGGGGTTCTTTGATATGCTGAATCTAACCATGTATTTAGATTTTTTATTTGTGGACCCTGTTATCAAATTGGTTCATATTGAGGTCAAAAGGGTCCAAAATTAAACTTTGTTTGATTTCATCTAAAATTGAATTATTGGGGCTCTTTGATATTCCAAATCTAACCGTGTATTTAGATTTTTAATTTTGGGTCCTGTTTTTTAAATTGGTCTACATTAAGGTCCAAAGGGTCCAAAATTAACCTTAGTTTGATTTTAACAAAAATTGAATTCTTGGGGTTCTTTGATATGCTGAATCTAAACATGTGTTTAGATTTTTGATTATGGGCCCAGTTTTCAAGTTGGTCCAAGTTGGGGTCCAAAATTAAACTTTTTTTGATTTCAACAAAAATTGAATATATGGGGTTCTTTGATATGCTGAATCTAACCATGTATTTTGATTTTAGATTTTTGGCCCAGTTTTCAAGTTGGTCCAAATTGGGGTCCAAAATTAAACTTTGTTTGATTTCAACAAAAATTGAATATATGGGGTTCTTTGATATGCTGAATCTTACCATGTATTTAGATTTTTTATTTTGTGGGCCCGCTATCAAATTGGTTCATATTGAGGTCAAAAGGGTCCAAAATTAAACTTTGTTTGATTTCATCAAAAATTGAATTATTGGGGTTCTTTGATATGCCAAATCTAACCGTGTTTTTAGATTTTTAATTTTGGGTCCCGTTTTTTAAATTGGTCTACATTAAGGTCCAAAGGGTCCAAAATTAAACTTAGTTTGATTTTAACAAAAATTGAATTCTTGGGGTACTTTGATATGCTGAATCTTAACATGTGTTTAGATTTTTGATTATGGGACCAGTTTTCAAGTTTGTTCAAGTTGGGGTCCAAAATTAAACTTTGTTTGATTTCAACAAAAATTGAATATATGGGGTTCTTTGATATGCTGAATCTAACCATGTATTTTGATTTTGGACATTGGACCATAATAGGTAAATTAAAAAAATTGAAGTTCTTAGACCACATTCTTTCTGTGTCAGAACCTATGCTGTGTCAAATATTTAATCACAATCCAAATTCAGAGCTGTATCAAGCTTGAATGTTGTGTCCATACTTGCCCCAACTGTTCAGGGTTCGACCTCTGCGGTCGTATCAAGCTGCGCCCAGCGAAGCATTTTATTAAAGACCCAAATGTTGCAAAACACTTGTCCTACAACCATGACAAATATGTTGTTGTCCCCGCAGATGAAGCCCCAAACAACATTGTTTTTGTGTGTAAACCACATTACATAAATTGTTTGATAAATGAATTAGGTATTGAAAATAAATTCAACATATACCCCCACTTTTTTTTCTAAAGAGGAAATCCTGGATAATCATAGGTCTGTTCTATGTTCCTTTGGAATTTCAACCAAAGATGAAGAACTGGATCTTTCATCACTGTATTGGATACCTAAACTACATAAGTGTCCTTACAAACAACGGTATATTGCTGGGTCTTCCAAGTGCTCCACGAAACCTCTTTCTAAATTATTAACATCAATTTTATCAGCAATCAAAGCCGGAAGTTATTGTGAAACAACCTATTCTAGAGGTGTCATGAATCAGATATGGATACTAAAAAATTCCAAAGATCTTTTAGAGTACATGCAACCTAAGACCCTTTTATCTTGCAATAGTATTAAAACATTTTACTTTTCTACACTTTACACAAGAATTCCCCATTCCAAACTAAAAGACAAATTTAAAGAGTTGGTATTCCTTTGTTTCATAAACTGAGATATGTCTCGCCTATTTGTTATTTTGATAATGCAAATGTTGAAATTAAAATTACAATACTTTAACATGTAAGTTATGCAAATATTCAAAGTCAATGAACCATGACTGAATGTACAGGGCTAAACAGTCTCCATGGAAATGAGATGTGCCAATGCTAATACAACTGCAAACCAAATACCACTGGCTTTTCATAAGTCGTTCCCTTTAAATAAACCTAAACACAAACATTAACTTGTAAACTATGTAAAAATTTCAAAGTCAATGAACCATAGTTAGGGGGTGGGGTTATATAATCTCCATGGAAATGAAACTTGCAAATGCCAATACATTTGCATACCGAATATCATTGACTTAACATTAGTGGTTCATCTTAAACTGACCTAATCACAAACTAATACATGTAACTAAGCAAAAGTTTCAAAGTCAATAGACCATGACTGAGAAGTAAGGACCAAATATTCTCCATGGAAATGAGATATGCTAATGCTTCCACAACTGCATACCAATTATCATTGACCTACCACTAAAGGTTCCCCTTAAACTGACCTAATCACAAACTAATACATGTAAACTAAGCAAAAGTTTTAAAGTCAATAGACCATGACTGAGGGGGCGGGGCCAAATAATCTCCATGGAAATGAGATATGCCAATGCTTATACAACTTCATATTAAATATCATTGACCTACCACTAGTGGTTCCCCATAAACTGACCTAATCACAAACTAATACATGTAAACTAAGCAAAGTTTCAAAGTCAATAGACCTTGACTGAGGGGGTGGGGCCAAATAATCTCCATGGTAATGAGATGTGTAAATGCTAATACAACTGCATACCAAATATCATTGACCTACTACTAGTGGTTCCCCATAAACTGACCTAATCACAAACTAATACATGTAAACTAAGCAAAGTTTCAAAGTCAATAGACCTTGACTGAGGGGGTGGGGCCAAATAATCTCCATGGTAATGAGATGTGCCAATGCTAACTGCATACCAAAT